AAATAGAGTCTGACTTTGGATTGCGTGTCTGGATTTCCTGTGAGCTTGTAATCTTGTGTAGCACTCTTTCTATCTTAAGGACATGTTAAATTAAACTCTTTCTATTTGTGACAGCCCTCATCCTTTTCCCTCAAGTCCCCTGTTCTTTATCATGCCTCACTGAGCTTGTTGTCTGAAGAAAGTTTGGGCTTTCTATCATGGGTTGAGGTAGAAAGATGAGGCAGTGTAGTTACCGTTGCCATGGTTGACCAAATGTTGTGAGTCTTTTCTCCAACATGACATGATATTTGGGAACCACCAGCTCTCTGAAATGAATAGAGTGGCCATGGGATCAAAGCTTTTCAACCCTTAATGCCTTTACCAGTCACGGTAGCATCCTCACTCGTTCAGTCTCTGTTACGTTCACTCTTTCTCTTCACTTTTAATTAAATTACTATAATTTGTGGCAGGAAATTGAATGACAGAGCCTGTTAATGCATAATCTGAAAACCAATCAAGGTAAGGACACATTGTTTTGTTTACGACTTAGGAAAATAGTTTTTTTTACATTGTATCCCATGTTCACAAATTGGTCATGATGATGGTCCAAGGACTGGGGCTGTTGTGAAGGAGGGACAACCTGGAACAGGACACATTTTTTCCATGGTTTCATTAATTTTACTGACAAATCTGCGTCCAGAAATTGACTAGACAGAGAGGAATTTATAGTTTTTATACTTTTAGCAGAATGTTGTAATTGGTGTTTATTGACAGTTTGCATGACAAAAGCATTCTTGGAAAACTAGTGCCCTTAACTTTATATAAAAAAAAAAAAAAAAAGCCATACGCATTAAGATTAAGATTGCATCACATCGTCTGGTGTTTTTTGAGCTTCCCGCCATGTGTTGTCAGGTTAAAAACGCACCTTGAACACTGGCCCATTTTGCTTTGCTACTCCAAGAATATGTCTTATGTAAACGCCTCTAAGAAACACGTCCGATCAGGTTCAGTCTAACCCGAAACTTGCCTCAGAGCTTCCTTAAGACGATTAGTGGACTAGCCATTTAGACAACGCAATAAACAGTGGACACATCCCTAATATTCGCAGGGAAAGGAAAGCGTAATGTTCAGGTTACGTTAAAATTGTTTTAAAATTGCAATGGGAAAAAATTGGCCAGATATCATCTAAAAACATCATGTTTTTTATTTATTTTTTATGATATATATTTTTTTAACTTTAAATCTTTAAAATTTTTTGTTTTAAATCTTTTAGATTTTTAATTTTTAAATCTGATTTAAATCAGATTTTTTTATGGTTATAATCTTTGATTCACTAGTTAGGATGTTTTGAATATTGTATATATCAACATTTCAGTTCGCAGCCATTTGTATACAGACATTCTCCTCCTTCGATAGTTAGTTATTTAAATCTGGTCAAATTCGCAAGCTCTGACTGTGTGTGAATGAACAAATCCTAATATACCAGAACATTTACCGGAACAACTTTTCTGAAATCTCTGTGTAAAAGAGGCTTAAGGTTTCTAGCTGCCACACCTAATGGTGTTGACTGGTGTGTAATTCGCAGCACATATGCAGTCAAAGATGTTGGGAGGTGGAGAAGAGCGGTAATCCTGTTACCGGGCCAATTGTAATCTGCTTGAAAGTCTGTCGTCTTTATCTCAGTGCTGCCCAAGACCGAGGAAGAAACAGAGACAGTGACTTTATGGAAAACACAGACCAAAACTCTGGGCTGGATTAATCGTTACAGAGTAGAGCCCGACCGATAAAGGATTTTGAAGGCCGATACCGATACAAATATTTTTTGGTTTTAAAATCCGATATTCCGATATATCGGCCGATATTTTTTTATTTATTTTTTTTGTTTCAGAAACGCGCAACAAAAAATTAACAGATTTGCCTAACATTAGTTATTTGTAGTTATTTATGAGTTTTAACTAAAATAATATGTAATATGATAATGCGTTTTAAAAAGAAACTTGTTTCTTTTATTGTCACAACAGAACAGACTGATGATATTGGCATTAGCTTTATGGCGAGCTATAAGTGTTTAGCTTGCCAACAGGAACGGTGTAGAGTGCCCTCTGGTGGACAAACTATACAACTCCAACACTCATGACATGGTTCAAGCGTGTTTCGTCCTTTTTTATTTTATTTTTTAAATATTCATTTATCGGCCATTATAACTGCCGATACCGATAGTTTGGAAAATGCCTAATATCGGCCGATAATATCGGCCTACCGATATATCGGTCTGGCTCTATTACAGAGGTTATAGTTAAAGGGTTAGTTCACCCCAAAATGAAAACTCTGTCAGTAATTACTCACCCTCTTGTTGTTCCAACCCGTAAGACTTTTGCTCATCTTCGGAACATTTTGGAACAAGATTGGAATTATTTTTAAACAAGATATTTTTGATGAAATCTGAGATCTGGATCACTCCATAGGCTTGTAAGCCAAGGGATCTAAACTCACCGGCCCAGAAAAGTTAAAGACATTGTTAAAATAGTCCAAGTGACTACAGTGGCTCAAGCTTAAGTTTATTAAGCGACGATAATACTTTTTGTGCACAAACAAACAAAAATAATGACTTTATTCAACTATTCATTTCCTTCTCTGTGGGCATCGAGTTACACAAAGCTTCTGGGTTGTATACGTCACACCATCACACACATGACCAGCGTCGGCCAATAGTGAGCCTACGTGTGACGTGCGACCCAGAAGCGCTGCACAGTTACACTACGTGAACTATCTCTATCAAAATTGTGAGATGAAAAAGTTACAATTACATTTTTTTTATTCTTTGGTAGAAAAAAGCTTCCATATACCTCTATTGGTTTTGTACTGAAGAAGAAATTCTTGATAAGAAACATTATATTTAAAAAAAAAGTCTGCAAAGTCATTTGGTGCAACCATCATGCAGAAAATACAGAAAATGACCCTCATGACTTCAAGTCAAGGTCAGCAAGTCTCCAAAATAGTCAGATCTTTTGACTTTTAAATTGCAAGGCAATGTCATGTGGTGCAACTCCAATATGTAATATTAATGCATGGCCACACTTTAGATTAGGGTCCAATTCTTACTATTAACTATTACTTGTCCCTCAATAATCTCCTAATTACTACTTTTTAATAGTTAGTAAGGTAGTTAAGTTTAGGTTTGGGTAGGAGGCATGTCGAATATGATCATGCAGAATAAGGAACTAATATGTGCTTTATAGGTACAAATAAACAGCCATCCTATTAATATGCATACTAATAAGCAACACAACCCTTTCACACACCGCGTTGATCCCGGGAAATTGCCAGAACGCCTTCTGTGTGAACGCGATTGATACCGGCATCGGTTGGGGTCAGTCCCGGAACGCGCGCTGTGTGAACAAAAGCCAGGACCAATGCCATAAGGGATGTGTCATATAGTGCGACTCTTGCTCTTAGAGGAAAGTTTGTGCTCGTCATCAACAAAGAAAGGATGAACAAATGTCTGCAAACTGGAACGAAGCAGAGACCAGGAGCTCCTCACTATCCGCGCTGAAGCTGAGATCGTTCACCAGCTTTGATGGAACGGTATGCGCGTGTACATGTTTTCGGGATCTTTACGGTTTGTGTGTGAACGCACTCTCAGATCCTGGCAAATCACTGGCAGTGTGAATGAACCGAAATCAAACAATCCTGGGACAAAAATGTCGGGTCACATTATCCATGTATTTTCCGGAATCTCTGTGTGAAAGGGGCTTAGTAAATACAAACTGTTACCTAATAAAATAAAATCTTTTTACACGAATGATTTTATTCAATGTTTACACATCGCATGAGGCATTCAATTTGAAATTTCTTGAAGTTTTTCTAAACCATATAAAACCAATGTGAATACAAAGAGTATATTCTTAGAACTTGTCTATTTGTTTTAAATCAATTTTGTGTTTTCTTTATCGCAGACGCTCTATTTTTTCATCGGCCCAAATTGTATCCCACACCCCATATCATTTTAGCTAAATCAGTTGTCCCCAGTCCAAGCATGTGTTTTCATAGAACGATGTAAATCAAAACTAGTAGGATTCCAAAGATCTTACAGGTGGGGACAGAGACTTTCAGCAAAGACCCCTTTGGTATTCTAAACGTGCTGGCAAAAGTAAACTCCACTTGGTGCCAACGCATGGAGGATATTCTTACCTGTCCCTGGGGCTGGAAGTAAGCCAGACTGGGGCTTAAAGGCCTGATCTGGGGCTGGGGGGAGTCAACTGGGAACAGTGCGTGTAATTAGCATGTTTAGAGTCGCGGATGACCCGGGCTCACGTGTTGATTGACAGTTCATGCTGCTGCCCAGCAACAGCCCCCTGAGAGGTTTCAAATCCCATCGCTGGGCTGTAATTGAGTGTCAACAAACAGACAGGCCTCCAACGGAGGAGATCTCTGCATATCTGCTGCATATCCTCAAATGGCGTGGATGGGCTTCTCACAGCACTTCTATAAATCAGTTAGCCTGAATGCCTTGGATAAAAGTGTGTTATAGTTATGACAAGTTCTTTTGATTCCTCAATTGAGATATTAAAATGAATGTGACGCGTTTTGAAATGACGTTCTCGTGCCCATTAATGAAGATAGTTTAGAAACATGACAGCATAATGACTTTAAGCTTTAATGGCACCTAGTGTTTAACAGTATACGTGTCAAATAATTGATTTTAAGTTGAAATATGAATCATAACTGCTTGAATGTGGTTAGTCACAGTTTATGAATCTGCGTGATGTTATGAATATAAAAATGATGGTGCATTCCTGTGATGCACATAGCTTACATGTCAAGGCTCAGCATTATATCAGCCTGATGTCATGCATATCAAATGCATCAGTATTACTGATGGTTTACTTATTTATGATTGCACTTGGATGTAATGTTGTTTCATATTAGTTATATATTTTAAGAATGAACTTTGATACTTAGCGTATATGAATATTCTTTTTTTTTAATCTTTAATCTTTTTCATTTTGTTTCTCTCTCAGCTCGATGACTGTGCTTTACAGTTATCTCACAATGGCAGTTATCTGGACCTAGAATCCACCTTGGCCGAGCAGAGAGATGAACTGGAAGGCTTTCAGGAGGATGGAGGGTAAGCAACAACGAAAAAAGAAAAAGAACATTGTCGTTATTTACGGTAATGTTGTTACAAACCTGTATGACTTTCCTCTGTGAACAAACAAATAGATATTTTCTTCAGTTTTTGAAAACCATATGTAACCAACATGGATAAAAAGACAACATTTCTCAAATTTGGCATGTGTTTTAAATTCTACACTTTTAATTAGTATTTTGTGTTTTCTTTATCATCAAATTTGATCCCATACCCCACATTTAGGCTTGACACTTAGGAATATAATTAAATAGACTTGCTTAAATTTCAGTCTTTGGTGTTTTGATGTAATTTTGGCGCTTAAGGGCTGCATTAAGTTTCTTGCTTTATTTTCCATGGGAAAAATAACAGCAGACTGGTATGGAACAACATGAGGGTGAATAAATAATTACGGATTTTGTTTTGGCTAAGCATTCCTTTAAATATTTACCCCCTTTTCTGATTTATGAATTGTCAAAAACAACCAAACAAGCTACTCACACTTAAAGCATTTGTGTGTTTTCATATATAAGTAAAAAAATTAGACATTAAATACATGTTTGCTTTATACTGACAATCACTTTGTTGGTTTGAATAACTTCTAATACCGAAGTGTCTGATGATGATCCATGACCCTGTTATCTTTTTTGCTGTCTTATACAGTTCAGATTGCAATGATATTGATCTTCAGTTTGATCAATAATTTCTCCTGGTGTCCCTTTATTGACCCTGAGAGAGTTTTTGCTTTGACGTAGATTGGACGACCAATGGATGGATGAGTTATTCAAATCCCCTTAAAAACTTTCATTATTGTCTTTGAATAGGTTATTTCACATTTTGTTACATTGAAGACAACTATAAGCACTATCTAGCCATGTGCATTCCATAAAACATTCCATCTAAAGCTATCAGAAAGACCTTAAAATCTCACGGCACATGTTCTTTTGTCTTGAGCACATACCACAGTCGTTCTGTGACAGGCCTCTATTCAGAGAGCCCTCAAAATACCTGACTGGTTGGCAAGGGCACAGATGATGTCAGCCTCCGGTTTTAAGAAAATTGGCCTGATTCAGAGTTAATTGTCTTGGGTTGAGCAAAGTCCAAGAGTTGATGCTTCTTTTAAAATTAATCATGGTTTAAAAGACTATTTATCCCCTAAAATCTTTTTAGATTGCAGTTTTAAATCCATGGCATTAGTATGGAAGACGGTTTCCACCACTTTATTTCTTGTATTTGTGACATTATATCACACAATGTTCTTTTTATATCTCACAAGAGGCTATTACTCATAATTGCAACTTTATCTCTCACAATGTAACTTGACTTTATATTCTAAAACTGTGACTATTTATCATAACTACGACTTGTGGATTTATATCTCGCAATTATGACTTTTTCGCATAATTATGACTATATCTCACAATGCTAGTTTCATATCTCACAATTGTTATTTTAATCACTTAATGTCAGTTTTTATATCTCATAAGTCACTTGAAACTTTATCTTTCGCAATGTGGCTTTGTGTGTCACAGTTATAATTGTGACTTTATCTCACAATGGTATTTTATATCTCACAATTGACTTTACTTATCATTATAGTACTTTTATACAACACAATGTGATTATCTCACAATGTCACTTTATTTACTTGAAATTTTGACCCACCCCACATAAAATTATCGCACCATTACCTTTTTATTTTTTAATCCGAGGCAAAAGCAAGGTTCCATAAATGAATGCTAGCAGTGTGCCTGGACTCTCATGTCAGATGGTGCAAACCCATGTAAACATACCAAATAAAACAAACAAGTTTTTCTGTTACCTCAAGGAGTAGCTTTTGACTCACAGTTTTATTAGATGACACTGCTATCTTTTCTAGCCAAGATAGAACCTGCCAAATGCCAGTGATTGAAGGCTAGATTTTGATATTTGAGGCTGATATTGGACAAGGCCTCTAATATTTAGATTGGGCTCAAATTCAAAATACAGTTAAAGACAGTAAGTAAATGGAGGTCTTTTGGAAAAAGCGAGAGGCTGAAGGGCCACTTTTTTTGGTCTCTGAGCAATGAATGGTAGTGCCAACTGGCGCGCTGTTTCTCTCTTCTGTCTGTGTTCAGGACCCCCCCCAAGAGGCTATCAAGGGTGTGCATTATTAGACCCATGCAGAGTGTCTGAGTGGGCTGTGGAAAGCAGGAATGGAGGACTACATTACTGTTAATAACAGGGTAATTCAGCACAGTGGGCTTTTATGGCCTGGATGGGCTGGAGTTCACAGCCCCCTCCATTTTCTGAAGTTGTGCTTTATTACGGGGTCTAAAAACCTTGGCCGAAGTACGTGATTAAACCAAACCCAATCTCCTCCTCCTTCCCTCTTTTGTGGTTTTTTCTATCTTGCTTTATGTGATGTCTCTGACCTACATTTCATCAATTGCTGAAAACACAAAAAAAGTAGGCTAATTGCCTCGAGGAATAATTTGAGGTTCCTTCGTTGCTTCTTCATTGTTGCTACTGTATCTTCTTACTGTTTACATGGGGCCTGGGACGAATTATCAGGCTTTTCTTAATTCTCAAGCATTCATTTTCCCCTTCTTTTGGCTTTCAGTTCTTTTCAAACTGAGATTAACAACTGCAACAGTACATTTACTCCATTGCTTTGATGCACATTGTTGGATAACGTCGTCATCTAAAAACGTGATTTTGCATGCAACTTATTTTCCTTGCTTATCCATGTCCTTGAAGATTTCTTTTTCAATGTTGAACCCAGAGGCCTGTGATGGGATTCCAAAGGGACAATCAGAAATGGATACAGATTACAAGTTGCATTCCACAGGTGCCTCAGTCATATGAAGTCACTTTGCTCTCTGATTGAGGAATGATCCTCTAAAGCCTACTTTTGTAAGGTGGATATCTCTGTTTCATAGTGGCTTAACCGTCCTAATCATTACCACTCCACCTCATGCAGAAAAAGCTGTCAGAGTCTGAAACAGGGCCCCGGATTTAATCCCACTCGCTGTTAGCGCGGACCCTCTTCTGGCAAACCATCAACAAAATGTTCTCACACCAGGGCCCAACTGTTTTTTCTTTTGCCAAGTCTTGCCGATTTTTTTTGGTCTCTCCACAAAAATTAGTAATATTATTTTTTGTAATATATTTTAAATATATATATAAACATAATTTAGTTTTTTTAATATAATTTAGTTTATTTAAAATATTTATTTTTTGTAAAATATTTCAATCAAACGGCTCAAAACTCTGAACGGTTTTACTCCTAAGATAACTGTTGATATCAATGAATACGTATATGTGTCTGAAATCTCGCTTCTTTATATGTGAATACCTCCCCTATTCTCTCTCTGTCTCCCTCTCTTGCTTTCTCTGCCCACTTATATTTTTCTTGAACTCGTTTCTTTTCCTGGCCGATGTGCCGGAGGAGCTTTCTTCGGGCTCGGTTAGCCTCTGGCCCTGGAGAAACGCCTAGTTCCTTTTAATGGGAACGCTTCAAATATTTGTGCGGATTATATGGATAGAGGGGTAGGAGGCTGCTCAGCTGGACCACTGGATTTTTCCCCTTATTGCTGAAGTAAATGGCAGGCAGAGGAAGTGAGGACGAAAGTGTAGAAACTCTGAGGTGCCGTGTATGTGTTTCTAAGTTCCCGGTCTTTTGAGAACCTTTTGAATAGATTGGCTGGTGATCATTAGGGATGCACCATATCAGTATCGGCCGATATATGGTAATTTTTAATGTTATCTGAGACACTTCAGTCTCTGTTCCCTATGATGGTTTTGAATTGCTTGAAATATGATTGGAATCACTTAAAAAAGGAAAATACAGTTAAGTGCAACATGCAGATCTGAGAACATCATTATAATTGTGTTTAGCATCTAGCATTTCGAAAAATCTAGCATTTCGCTATTAAAGTCAAAATATTTCGATATGAAAGGTGAAATATTCCGAGAATAAAGTCGAAATATCCTGAGATTAAAGATTAATGTTGAAATATTCCGAGATTAAAGTTGAAATATTCCGAGATTAAAGTTGAAATATTCCGAGATTAAAATTGAAATATTCCGAGATTAAAGTCGAAATATTCTGAGATTAAAGATTAATGTTGAAATATTCCGAGATTAAAGTTGAAATATTCCGAAATTGAAGTCGAAATATATTCCGAGATTGAAGTCGAAATATTCCGAAATTAAATTTGAAATATTCCGAGATTAAAGTCGAAATATTCCGAGATTAAAGTCGAAATATATTTTGAGATTAAAGTGCGGTAATTCTTGTTGGTAGATTAGAGATTGTTTTGTTGAAAGCCCACATAAAAGTAAAAAGCTACTATTTTGTGTTGATGCATGGCAGTTCGACTTCACAAGAGCATGTCTTTACACACGCGCGCGCTCTGAGCCACTGTACGCGCACTGTTATGAATGCACACACTTCTATGAAAGACTGTTTCATCGTAATGTTTTGACTTTACTCTCAAATTTTTTTTTTACTTTAATCTCGAAATGTTTCGACTTTAAATGCTATATATATACATAGACTTCATATGAATAAAATATATAAAAACACATTGCAATGTATAATTCCACAACCACTAGTGGCACAAAATGGAACTGCAGAAATAATTGTTTCCTAACAGGTTTCCAAGGTTTTCTGTTTCTTTAAACCTTGTAGCAAATCCATCTCTTGTATATGTCATAATGATTATTTAGCATTTTCTAGTAACATTTTGTTAAAACCTGTAATTGACCTGGAAGAATATGAACTAAAATAAATATTTATATAAACAAACTTTGGTAACACTTTATTTGAAGTGGTGTGCATAATACTGACATGACACTGTCATAAACATGACATAACACCATCATGAACATGAAGGAGTCTTTATGAATGTTTATGACTGTTGTCATTAAGTGTTGTTCTTTAAATTACGACACTTTTAATGCAAAGTTGACATTGTTTAAAATGTCTTTGTTGTCTTCAGAAAATGCCTTTCTCT